GGGGGGTGAGCAGTAAAAGACGAGAGACCTGCCCTGTGTGTGAACTAGTGGTCATAAACAGAGATGTAGCTCTTCCTGGAGGCCTGTCTGTCTGGATCCGTCACAGACGGGGCTTCATTGTTCACGAGGGGGACGAGGAGATCGTAGGCCACTAACGCTGACGAATGGAAACACGTCAGCCACGAAAGACTTATCATCCCCGATGCGTCCGTTTCTCTTCTTCTGTTGATTTTGTTGCCAAGCAGTTACGCAACAGGACACGAGTCTGGATGTGACAGGCCTTTTCTCTTGTCACTACTCGGCTCTTTGAATTGCTCTAATATATTTTTATTAGAACATTCTGCGCTGAAGGTCCGGTGGATCATTCAGGACCACAACACTAACTTTTTGAGATTTGAGCAAGGCGGAGTTTAACAGTGTCTGACACATCCTGTTCCGGTGTCTATATTTCTATAACTGTCCAAAACCGATAACCTGTGAAAACATGTTTGAAGCATAGTGGACCATATTTTGATGAATTTTATAAAGTTATGCAATATCTTGCGAAAACCTCAGACTTTCAGGTGTTTGTTGACAAAAGATTATTTTAATAAATTCCCTTTCAGCATTTCCATTTACTGTTCCAGCTTTTATCTTTTGTAATTAACATGAACACTTGACATTTGGTCCCTTTTAACAAATTTGATAAATTACTCTAAATTACATTTAATTTATGCAACAAAAGTCCCATAAAAAGGCACACTGTCCAACCAACAGCGAGTAAGGCCTCGGGAACAGGAACAAAGAAACTGGCCAAACTTTTTTCTTTTAGAAAGTTTTGGGAATGATGGGTTCTCATTTCTTGGTGTCAGTCAGAATGATGTTGGCTGTGACAAACATGAGGCAGAAGGCGGCCCACAGCAAAACAAACCACACCCAGAAGGCGTGACGGAAAGGAGACCGGTGCTTGTTGATGGCATTTCTGCCCATCACAGGCTCCAGGTGGCGTCTACCATAATAAACAAGGAAGGCTGGGATAATGTACTGGATCCCTGTGCCAGCATAAGCTCCTGTTATGCCCACCAGGGACTCCAGGTTGTGGGTGAAAAAGGCCACCAGGATCGGGGGCACAAGGGTAATGAGAGGAAACACGACACGGTCCACCACCCAGGGGTAGGTGCCTCCATCACGATGGAAGAGGGTCCTCCAGTTGTTGCGAAGCGTGACGGCAATGATGGGGAAGTTGGTGCTGATGGTGAAGACTGGGAACAAGCCCAAGAAGTAGCGCAGCACTGGAATATCTAACACATCGCAGTTGTCTGTGAAATTCAGGGTGTACATGTCGTGCAGCAGTGAGCTGTCAAAGCAGAAGATGGCGGTGAACGACAGGAGGACGTAGAAGCCCAGGATGAGGATGTAGTCCGCCAAAACCAGGGTGCCGACTCGTTTCTTTTCAGAGATGGGTGTCACCAGGGAGGGCAGGGAGTGCTGGCACATGAAGGAGTAGACACACACCCCAAACAGGTTGGGGACTCCAGATAATGAGGCGACTGGTGGTTTGCCCTCACCGGTGCCTTTGCCAATGCGGATCAGAGCCAAGATGATCATCATGGTAAAAGCTGTAAAAAAAAGAAAAGAAAAAGACAAGATTAACGCTATTGTGACACAGAAACACTAATTTCATGTACATTTAGCTGTCAAATCAGTTCTAAACCTGACTCTTTTGAATGGTCTGTGGTCGTGTTGGTTGCAGTTTTCTTTCTGATACTGTAAAATTGAACTGCAGTAATTGAGCTGGGTCAAGTAAGGACCGACTGCTGAAGATGCACCAGTGCTGCTGCCCAAAGAGCTGTTCACCAGAAGCTCAACTCAGTATCCAGACCACTGAACAAGAGAATCAATTGTTGAACATGTGAGAAGGTCTGTTATGCTGCTTTCTTTGAACTGAATTTTTATGCTCTTACCATCAAGAAAAAGCTAAGCAGCAGTGTAACCCCGAGGAGCTGGGATATAACAACTGTCCTGGGTCAGCATGAGGCCAAACCCGGAAATTATCCTTTATTTAGCTCATCTCTAATCCAGCCGCCTCTGTGCAACCTTTTCCACTACTCTCTACCGATTATTTTCACAGATCACACAGACACAGACGTCAGGCATCTAGACTAGTGGTGCTGCTTCACCGTACAACTGTCTGTATCTTACACGTCTCTGCTTAAGGACCAAAATATATCACCAAATGAACCTTTGCACTTTCTTGGGTACAGCACTCTGATAATTGACCACAGTCCAAACTAAGACGTTTTTTTTTACAAAGGTTTTAGTTAAAAGTACAGTGTGTAGAATTTAGTGACATCTATTGGTGAAATTCAAACACAAGAACCTGTGGTAGCTTCAGTTGTCATAAAAACTCAAAAGGTGTTTAGTTTGTCCAGTCTGGACTAATGTAAAAAACATGGCAGCCTCCGTAGAGAGGGTCCCCTCTATGTAAATATAAAGTATTTAAATATAAAGGGCCTTTTCTGAGGATAAAGAAAACTACAATTCATACAATTTAGATGAAAAACACTCGTAAAAATATCATGAGGATTATTTTATGTTATTTTTCTTAATGTTTATATTTTCATTTATCTCCCATTTTCCTGATACTTAGATGTTGTTGAAGATGGCTTTCTATTGACTTTTGAAAAAAAAAGTACTAGCTCTTATTACTTTTTTGACTCAGTAATGTGAATTCTTTGAATTGCATTATATTTTAAATGAGTTTAGAAAAAGTATCATTACAAACTTTTAAATTAACCTGCATGATATTTTTTGCTGAAACACTACATCGAGTTAAATACACCTCATGTGGATAAATTTCATTCTCCCAGTGTGTAACAGCTTTCCATCTGTTTGCCCCAGAAACATGGGCTGTAAAAACAAACAACAACTCTGGATCATTTCCTGGCCCAACATAAAGTCACTGGAGCCAGGTGAAGACAGAGGGAACCACCCCCACCTCCATGTGTGTCCACTCCCTGCTGTTCAAATGATGTTCACATCTCAAATTGATTTCTGGAGACGCCTCTTTGGCAAGCAGCAGGAGGGTATCAAAAGGAGACCTCTGAGTGTGGGGTGCAGTCCTGTTACTGGCTGACGGTCATGTGACCCAGTAAGCTGTTTCACCTCCACATACATTCAATCAGCCCGTGACACCAGGAGTTAGTCATAGCCCTTCGATGGCTCACAGCCAGTCCTTCAACTTTCATCACCAGCTGTCCTTTAAACACGAGGTGACACTTAGGCAGTGACACCATAATTTGCCACACATATGCAGAAAATGATTCTATACCATACACTTCCACACACTGGTGGGGATCGGGTGTAATGCATGACTAAAAGATCCCTGCTGCTGTTGATGGAAATATTTCAGGGCCAATGCAGCAGGTCAGAGCAAAGCACAGTTTCGGTTTCACACACAGGTCATAGTGTTTTATCAGGGTGGAGGAGTAGGCGGGAACTTCAAAAAGCTTGATTAATCAGCTCCTGGTTTCTCCTGCAGTAGCACTGTAATGTGCTTCAGGAGGATAAAATTCATTGCAATTATCGGGGGCGGAGTGGTACGAAGGGAAGGAGAAACCATCTGAGACAAAGGCGTTCAGGACTGAGGTGAGTTTGGGGGAAATACATATATATATATATATATATATATATAGAGAGAGAGAGAGAGAGATTATGATGGAAGTATCTGTGGGAGATTGAGAAAGAAACAATAGTATCACTACGAATCATCATCAGTAAAATAATAACAATAACCGTTATATAAAGAAGCAGAAAAGGGGAATTACTTTACAGAAACAACACAGAGTCAAATAAAGAAATGAGAATAAAACAAAAAGCAAATAAGAAGTGATCCATATAAGTGACAAAGGAGAAAACATACAGACAGAAAGAAAACAACTCTGGGGCTGTGTTTCAGAAGGGTGATCATACATGTCAGATTTCAATATGGCCAAACACATACCTACATTTATTGTTTTTGATCAGACAACTATGTAACCATATCATAGTGACATATCTCAGAAGAGCAGAGGATGGATTTCTGATCCTCTTGATAACTGATAACTAAGTTTAAAACTTGTAGCTTACATATGAAGACCTGTTCTATTCTGGCTCCTGTGCTGATCAGAACAGAGGTTTGGTAAATCAAGAGTATAACCAGAGAGTCTGTCCCACTTGTCTTTAGATAATGGCTGGGATGAACATATTGAAATATTCAGTTTTTACTGCTTTGTTGTTTTAGTCTGAAAAACAGTCCTGTGAGCACCAATTATTTTCACGGATAAACAAGAGTAGCTAAAAGTGACATCCCACCTCTTTGTTTCACACATTTTCTTTAAACTCACATCAGTGTAGATCTAATCACCCACTCATGTCAGGAGCCAAAGTCTTTTCACTTGTTGCACAAGTGTTCAGTATTTAATGCATCGTTGGCCTCCATCCAATGGTTTCTTTGGCTCTGGGAAAAGCTCTGTGAGTAACACGCGCCCCCACCCTGACCTTAAACACTCCTCCCTCTTACTGAGAGGTCAAATGGTTGGGCAGCAGACCAACTTTCAAGGACATTGTCTCAGAAGATTGCAGTGGTTGCAACTAAAATATTATTTTCCGAATGTATTAATCAGACTATAATTTTCTTAATGAAAAAATGTGACATTAAACTGCTTATGATGTAATGTGAAATCATCCAAAACCTTAAAGTACACTGTTCCTACTCTCATTTATGAGAAATAAAAGCCAGACCTGCACTGAAACCCAGATATTTTCCTGAAATCTTTCGGAGCTGTATGTGAGAACACGAATGTCTGAGTTGGTTGCTGAGTACATGCTCTGGAACTTCTCCTGCCAGTCCCCTAGGTCAGAGTGAGACCATACAAGAAAACAACAGGAAAAGGTTCAGACACCAAACTAGAAAAATAGAAATATCTCGGGATGAAATAGATGAGACACGAAGGAGACACTGATGTCAACTTGGACAGACGAGATCTGAGAGCTTTTGGCGGTAAGGGGCAATGCTTGTGTCAATGTGCTGTAAATACAAACACTGATTTTCGCAGCAGAGTTTACACTGTACGTCATCTCCTTCCTCCTGCATGGTATACCCAAGCTCCTCCCCTTGCCTGAATGTTCTGGACATTTGACCAGGACAATCTCCTGCTGGATTATTTACATGTGAAAGACAAACTCCAGAAAATTCCAGACATTTGCTGGAGCTTAAGATATCATCATTATTGTATTTGTGTTTTGTGGCAATAAAACCGTCTCTTGCTGTCGTCTATGTTGTAGACGCTCCTTTTCTGCATTACTCTCCATTCCCGCACATCATCTTTAATGTGTCAAAGATCGCTGCATCCCATCTGCCTGCTCCTATTGTTCGCTGTCTTCTTTCTCCTTCAAACTCTTATCCTCTTCCCACCTTTCTGTCTGTAAGAGTAGCTTCATGTGAAGCAGCTAGCGCAGCCACCTGTCTGCTCTGCTGCATCGCCACAGAAGAAAAGGCAGAGGACGGGAGAAAGGAAGCTTTTCTCCTCCTTGACATCAACACTCACAGGCTGCACAGGAAGGAAACAAGCATGGGGCATTTAATTAAAAGTACCTCAGGGTGGCAGGGCATCTTTTTGGCAACTTAAGCCAAGATTAAAATGCTGCAAGAGCCTGTGATAAAGCAAAGCATTTCTGATCACACTGGATAGCTACCAGTTAAAATGTAAACAGGGTGATAAAGAAACAATATTCCAAATAACCTCCAAAACAGCAAAGTCTAAAGCTTAAGATCTCATTTTTTTCTTTATGCACACAGATGACAACATTTTATGGAAATCGGTGGCAGTGAAGTCTTTTGTCTCACTAACTTCACAGTGTATCAAAGAAACTCAAAGTGAATCAAGATGGTGGACAGAAGCTGAATACCGAGAGCAAAGCCCGGAGATTAAAGCGTTTCAGAATGTGCCCATTTGTCACCGACTCTCAGCTGCATCCTGCTACATGAGGTGGAGGAGCCATCGTCACCTGTGACAACTTTAATCTCACTCATTGCACGTGGAGCCATCAATCTCAGTGCTGAGGTGCTACACCACCATGAAGTAAAAGCATTTCAGCTCACATCAACTGTATGAACAAAGGAATATAGGGGTGTGGTTCTGTGTTTACAGAGTCAATCCATATATTATTAATTCATATATTAATGGGATTTACATTTAAAATCCACATTCTCAAATAAAAACAATGTCCGGCCACACAAGAGTTTTGGCTCCTTGTCAGAAATAGTCTTTGTTTGCTCTTCATTCCCTGTAACTCCTACAAAAGTCTCCCACCTGGTTCCAAAAAAGGAACTGCATTAGCTTCATAAGTCTTTTAGAAGGAATTTTAATTCTTGCCTGATATTTTTATCTTTGGCTACATTTTCTTTTGTCTATTTTTCTAAACTTATCTTATTGTTTTGACATTATGTACATTTTAACCTCGTAGTTTTTCAAATATACTTGTCCTGCTAATTGATAAGTTAATTACCTCCTGCAAGAAGGTTGTTTCCCCCCCCCCCCCCAATGTGTTTGTTAGCATAATTACGCAAAAAATACAA